GAATGGTAGACTAGTTCTGGTCTCAAGTTTTGAAATTCTTATTGTTTCCTGAGGAAGATAATTAATGTCTTACATGAGCATGGCTTTCCGCATCATCTTCCTTTTTTTTTAACTTTGAATCAAATTCACTGAGGCTGGCTCTTCCTTCACACCCATCTTGAAACTTGGTATCTTTATCGCTACACTTGAACTCTCAACCCACACTACTAGGACAAGTCCTTACATGACTTTCTTGATCTTCTTTAATCTTAATCTTATTATTGGTCCTTTCGAATAATTCATAGGATCTTTGCTAACTTTGCTAGTCAACCCCTATGTGATACTCATCAATGTCGATTTAGATTACCGTTGTCTTCATAATCATCGTTGGGGAGTTCATCTTCAGATTTTAATGCTTCTATTTTAACGAGATTTGTTTCATTGGCTCATCCATAGACAATTTCTTCTGTGTTTTTGTTTTTTTATTTTTAATTAAAATGATGAGACCGTGATTGCCTTTGTTTTAGTTCGCATAAAAGACACTAATTTGTTGACCTCAAAATAATGATTGTTGAGTTTTTTGATACCCAATAAATCCCAGGCTATGATGTTAACGTGGGTTAATATTATTTCATAGGCATAGGATGATGAATGAAATAAGTCCAACAACCAAGTCCATGAGCTACACCCGGCCCAATTGTATTCCTTATGGATGGCTTGAATCTTGGCCCGTTTACCCTTTTAATGGCCCAACTTAAAGCCTAACCCTAGAGTATATATTTGGCTATAACCCTAACCACTTTGATATGATGATTGTGTGATTTTGAGAGAAGAAACAAGAGAATCCCGACTACCCCCCTTTGTGTGAGAAAAAAGGTGTCCAGAAGTGTCCAGAACGCTGGTATAACGTGTGCAATTGGTGATTCTTTCATAGTATTCCTTTGTGGTATCTTCTCTTAGCCTTTGTGGCGATAAATCATCATCCTTTCTTGTCCTACGTGGGTAAGATTGAATAGCAACCAAGGTGAATCAATTGGTTGTGGTTTGAAGCCGTTTGGATCGGTTGTTGGTAGAGAAAGGTACGTTGGACTGAACCTGAAAAACTATCGTTTGAAGATCCTTTTGAGAGAGCTTCTGCAACAATTGGTATCAGAGCTTCAAGGTGAAGGTTTTGGCTTGTGAAATCTACCAGAAATCGTCCAGAAAATCGACAGAAACGCAGTAGAAATCAGATCGAAGAAGCTGTCCAAAAACTGTTAAAATCATTCTCCATTTTTTGCATTTTCTGATCAATCCAGAAGGAGTTTGGAGAAATGGAGACCACTGGCGTGACGTGCAGGAGGAGGCGAACCCTTTAGGCTGGCGCGTGTCGAGCGAAGGTGGCGCGTGAGGACCACGCGTAGAGGGGAGAGACGGCGCGTGCGGGTGCGTGAAACGTTTTCAGGCGACGGTTCCTTCAGGCAGTTTGTTCCTTATATTATTTCTGACATTTTTCATGTTGAAAGTTTTCTATTTCAGGGTACGTAGAAAAATCTAGACAGCGTTGTTCTTCGGGCGTTCGAGACTCGATCATGATTTTTTTGGGTTGCTGCAGTTTTCAGAGACTTTAGGACGAATAGTGGTAGTCCTAAAGTGATAAATTCGCAACTCTCATAATTTATGGACTCAGATAGGTCTACTCTGGTATGTTGGCTTAACTTAGTTTAAATTTCAGCATTAGCAGATCATCGTGTGGGGTGATCGTTAGGATAGGGGGTTGTCATTGCTTGGCAACCAGTGCTTGTGCTAAAAAATTTAGGAATTATTTGCTCTATTTTTTGAAGTGTTGAGTTTTGATTGCAAGTTGGTAGTTGATTTTGTGCTTTACCTGTCATATAGTCACTGTGTGAGACTTGTTGAGTGAAAATTCGAACTTTTGTTCACATACCTTCGTGTTGCATTGATTTTCCTATTAGAACACCTGGACTTGACCCGTTCGAATATTCCCTTGATCTAAGATCGTGAATCTTACGAAACCCTGGGAATCTAGAACGGTATATATTGCAGCCATAGGATAACTTTGTGTGAACTATCTGTGCTTTTGGTTGTTTTAGTTTTTTAAAAATGTCTTCACGCTTTGAAGTTGGAATTTTTAATGGGAAATGGGATTTTTCAATTTGGCAACAAAAGATGAAGGGTATTTTTGTCCAACAAAAAGTTTCAAAAGTCATAGATAGCAAATTTCCTACAAATTTAACAGAAGTACTAAAAGAAGAGTATGATGAACTTGCATACACTTCAATTATTTTACACCTGTCTGATGCTGTTTTGAGAAAAGTAGGAAAACTGGATTCTACAAAATAACTTTGGGAAAAGTTGGAAGACTTTTATTTGCTTAAGTCAACTCCTAATAAATTGTACTTGCTTGAACGATTTTTCAACTTTAAAATGGATCCTTCAAAGGATCTTGATGATAATCTGAATGTCTTTAACAAATTAGTTCAAGATATCGTTAACTGTGATGAAGAGGTATCTGAAACGTATAAGGCTATTATCCTGCTTAATTCCATGCCTGATTCATATAGGGAAGTTAAAAATGCAATTAAGTATGGTAGGGATACCTTAACACCCAAGATTATCATAGACTCATTTAGGAGTAAGGAGATGGAGATTAAGGTTGAAAAAGAGGATAAGAGGAGTGGCGAGTTACATATGATGAGGAGTAGGATGAAATTTAAGCAAATGAATTTGGGTAGAACTCAAGACGGTAGTGATTCGAGTAGTGACTCGAGTGATGAGAGTAGTAAGAAGAAGGGCAAGGGACGAGACAAGTCTAGTGGTAAAAGGTGTTATAGTTGTGGTAAGTCTGGACACTTTATTAGGGACTGTCCTAAGAAGAAAGATAAGCTGAAGGGAAAGATGAGAGGTGGGACGAATTTGGTTGAGGGGTCGAGTTATGACCCCAGTGAGGTTTATTATGTGTAAACCTAGTTATTGCATATGTATCTGTGTGTGATCCTTTCTGCATGTGTGTGATTGTCTAAATTTTGTTGCGTGATTATCTGCTACATTTCAATATGTTTGATATATGCATTTGCGTGAATTTGAGACATTAGGATTATTTGGTGTAATTGCTTGCATGCATAGTGTGTTAGGATGCATTAGCAGTATGTTGTGTGTCTTTTGGTGAGGTGGAGTGTAGATGCCTAAGGGTACATGGTGGTTTGTACCGAGGGATGTAGAGTGTGACATTTGGATCACGAGTGGAGATGTGATCAAATGTCTAGAATCCTTTATCTGGAAAGAGACCCTGATCAGGTGGAGTGTGAGAGAGGAACTTCTATCACTTCTGTTAGGTGGAGACCCATTATCCACGTAGGTTGGGAGAAGTGATATGGAGATAGAGGATTATCCCGTGGACTTAGGATCTATTGTGACTTGCCAGTTAGACATGAATTGAGTGATCTGTCTAGTGAGCTTGGTGGGCGATGAGAGGAGATATGTGTTCTCGATATAAATTTCATGGTTAGTGTGGAGTCCATTTCTATCTAAATTCTTTGCAACTGTCATTGTGGCATATTTTTGACCCTGTTAATGTACCTAGAAGCTCCACCTCTAGTCTTGTGCAATGCCCATAGCTTCTCAAACAGTCTCAGAGGGAATGGAGAGGGTGGGGCTGTGGCCCCTACTGGATTTTTATTCTTTAAATGTCTCCTTTCTTGAATAATTTTTTTACAACTCTTTTGGCTGTAAAATGGAACATGAATGCAATTTCTCTTCAGGATGAAATCCGTGGCACCCACCCACTTTACTACCATGCAATTCCATCAAAATCAACCCCTCAATCAATAATCCAATTATCCAAGCCCTCTTCG